GCGCCCGCGCACCATTGGAGGTGGTGGCGAGGGACATCAAGGTGAGGGCCCCGGGGAGACAAGCCTGGACAGGGCTGACCAAACGCCCAGAAGACCCACCCTCGGGTCTAGGAGTCATGCTTCAGAGACAGGCTGGACAGGCAGGAATAGCAGGAAGGGAAGGGACAGCCGGGCTGACATGAGTCATTCTCACCTCCTAGGGCTGCTGTGACTGATGACCACAAAGTGGGGCCTGGGGGGCCTGAGACAGCAGACTTACTCTCTCACACTGCTGGAGGCCGGCAGTCCAAGACCAGTACACTGGACTGAAGTCAAGGTGTGGCAGGGTCGGTTCCTGCCGGAGGCTCTAAGCGAGACTGTTCCAGGACTCTCTCCCAGCTTCTGTGGCTGCCGGCCGTCCTTGGCATTCCCCGGCTTCTAGGCTTCACTCCCAGCTCTGCATCCGCTGTCGCCTCGCCTTCTCTCCCGGAGCCTCTGTGTCTCTTCTCTGCTCCTCACAAGGACACCATCACTGGGTTCAGGGCCCACCCTAATACTGTATGACCTCATCTTAACTAATTACATCGACAAAGACCCTATTTCCAAAAAAGGTCATGTCCCCAGGTTCTGGGTGGACGGGAACATTGAGGGTCCATGTATTTAAAAAACAAAACAAAACCAGAATGGGAACAGAAATGGTGGGCGAAGCAGAGAGAGGAGGTAGAGTAGTGACAATGACGGTGACAATGCCTGTCCTGGGGGGAGAAGGGTCCTGTCCGGGAGGCGCGGCAGACGTGCACGAGAGAAGATGGGGAGTCCTGGTTCGGGACCCGCGGTGTCTTGCTGAGGAATGCTGGCTCCCAGCACGCTAGGCCCTCGGGTGGGCAGGTGCTCAGGAGGTGGGGAAAGAGAGCGCGTGGAGGGTGGCGGAGGGAGGGGGTGGTGCTCTGGCTGGGGCACTGCCTCTGCCTTTTGCCACTTTCTGTCACGTTTGAAAAAAGAAGGAAGCCTGGCCCTCTGCCTTAGGGACTGAAAAGTTTTGGTGTGTTAAAAACATTCTATTTAGTTTTGTCATTTTTTTTTTTTTTGACAGACAGAGAGAGAGAACAAGTGGGCAGAGAGGCAGGCAGAGGGAGAGGGAGAAGCAGGCTTCCCGGCCGAGCAGGGAGCCCGATGTGGGACTCGATCCCAGGACCCTGGGATCATGACCTGAGCCGAAGGCAGCCGCTTAACTGACTGAGCCACCCAGGCGCCCTGTCATTGTTTTTAAGAACCTCAGTCAAGGCACATTTAATTCTGTGATGCACGAAATAAATTCTGCTAGCGTTTCAAATCAATTTTTTTTATTTCAGAGTAGTGTTAGATTTACAGAAAAGTTGCAAGGACCGGGGCGCCTGGGTGGCCCAGTCGTTGGGCGTCTGCCTTCGGCTCAGGTCACGATCTCAGGGTCCTGGAATCGAGCCCCGCATCGGGCTCCCTGCTCGGTGGGAAGCCTGCTTCTCCCTCTCCCACTCCCCCTGCTTGTGTTCCCTCTCTCGCTGTGTGTCTCTCTGTCAGGTAAATAAATAAAATCTTTATTAAAAAAAAAGGAAGAAAGAAAAGTTGCAAGGGCGGTATGGACGGTTGCCATCTACCCCGCGCCCAGCTTCGCCGGCGATTAACATTTTACATTAGCATGCCACAACGATGACACTTTTTTTATTTTTTATTTTACCTTTTTTTTTAAAAAAGATTTATTTATTTGAGAGAGAGTGCGCGCACGTGGGGGGGAGGGGCAGAGGGAGAGGGAGAAAGAATCTCAAGCAGACTCCACACTGAGCGCAAAGCCCGATGCAGGGCTCAGTCTCACCCGCGAGATCATGACCTGAGCTGCAATCAAGAGTCACACGCTTAACCGACTGCGCCACCCAGGTGCCCTAGTGATACATTTTTTATCAATTAGAGGCACACTTTATCTGGATTTCCTTAGTTTATCCCTAACATCCTTTTTATGTTGTTCCAGGATCCAATCTGGGATTATATTTGGCCATCATATCTCCCGAGGCTCTTCTAGACTGACAGTTTCTCAGATTTTCCTTGTTTCTGATGACCTTGACAGTTTTGAGGAGCCCTGGTCAGATAGTTCATTGTCTTTTGACTTGGGTTTGTCTGGTAGGTACTGGGTTTTAGGGAGGAAGACTGTAGAGGTAAAGTGCATTGCTGTCACATCCTACCCGGGGTACATACTGTTGACGTGACTTGTCACTGTGACGCTGGCCGGGATGGAGTTCTCCAGGTTTGTCCACAGCGAAGTGACTCCCCACCCTGCCTCCGCTCTGTGCCGTGCAGAAGGCAGTCACTATGCCGCCCGCATTTATGGAGCAGAGGACTGTGTTCCACCTGCTTGAGGATGAAGCATCTACATATATGATCTGGAATTCTGCACAGGAGAAATGAGCTTTTCTTGCCCATTTAATCATTTACTCAATGATTCTATCAGTCTGGACTCCTGGATATTTATTTCATATTTCGGGCTATAATCCAGTGCTACTGTCTATATTTTGTTGCTGAAATTGTCCCAGCTCTGGCTGCTGGGGGAGCTCTTTCAGTTGACTCCTGGGTCCCTGTGACTTCACCCCATCAGTATAGGGTTTGGGTTTTATTATTGCTTTTGAGCACTTCCTTACTCTCTGGCAGTACAGGGTGCTCCAGGCTCATGTTGGATGTGCCCTGCCCCAGCTCCAGATTCGGGCATTTCCCCGAGGAGTCCCGGTTCTTTGCTGTTGAGGAATTGTGTTAGAACCCAGGGATCGGTTGGTGCCCTTGCTTTCGGTACTCTCAGCAGGCAGAGCTAAGGAATGTGTTTATACTGGGGCACCTGGGTGACTCAGTCAGTGAAGCATACAACTCTTGGTTTCAGCTCAGGTCATGATCTCGTGGGTTGTGGGATCGAGCCCCATATCAGGCTCTCCGCTCTGGAGAATCTGCTTGAAGATTCTCCCCCTCTGTCCCTCCCCCAACCCACATGCTCACTCTCTCTCAAATAAATAAATAAATCTTAAAAAAAAAAAGTGTGTTTGTGCTAATCCGTGTTTACATACATAGGTATAAATTGTATCTGTAGCTATATCAGGCTAAACATGGCTTCATACGGAGGTCTCCTACCCCCTGGCTCATTCAACACCATCCCCCTTGCTTGTCTATAGCCTCCCTCTGCAACAGTGAGAAGCCTGGTTCCCACCATCCTCCTTGCCGTTCCGTAATTGTTCACTGCTAGGGCTCATGATAGTGGTTTCAGAGGTGTTGACCATGCCCTGTGGGAAACAACGTTACTAACCCGAGCATAGTGCTTAGATGTGCTCCTCAGTCTCTCCCCATTTTCACAGCACCTTCCTGTCCTCCCCCTTCCATGAGGTTAGAGCCCATACTTGAAGTATAGTTTGATTCTTTTATCCGTCATGGGTTCCCCGTCTCCTAACTGATTTTTATCTGCATACATTAAAGTTCCTTCTGTGTGCCTTAAGAGCCTGGAGGTTTTAGGGTCCCTGGGTGGCTCAGTTGGTTAAGCAACTGCCTTCGGCTCAGGTCATGAGCCTGGAGTCCCGGGATCGAGTCCCACAAGGGGCTCCCTGCTCCCTGCTCGGCAGGGAGTCTGCTTCTCCCTCTGACCCTCCCCCCTCTCATTCTCTCTCTCTCAAATAAATAAATAAAATCTTTAAAAAAAAAAGAGTCTGGAGGTTTTGACAGATGCTTGGTGTCGCATAGCATGATCAGCATCATACAGAATCATTTTACCACCTTAACATGCTCTTGCACCTTACCTGTTCAGCCCCCCACCCCCTGCTGGGCCAACCTCTGGCAACCACTGATCTGGTTTTTGTCTCTGTAGTTTTGCCTTAAATGGAATCATAGAGAATGTAGCCTTTCAGCCTGGCTGCTTTCACTGAGCAGCATGGATTTAAGACTCAGCCCTGTCCTTGCGTGGATGGCTTCCTTGCTTTTTTTTTTTTTTTTTTTTTGCTGAATCATATTGCATTGTCTGGATGGACCGCAGTTTGTTTATCCACTAACCAATTGAAGGACAACTTGGTTGCTTCCAGTTTTTGACAATTATGAATAAAACTGCTATAAATAGTAAATGCAGGTTTTATATAGACATAAGTTTTCCAATCAGTTGAGTAAATACCTAATGTCACACAATGACTGGATCATACTGTAAGACTACATTTAGCAACCGCCAAACCGTCTTCCAAAGTGGCTGTACCATTTTGTATTCCCACCAGCAATGAATGAGAGTCCCTGTTGCTCTGGTCCTGGCCAGCAATTGCAATTTTGTTTGTTTTTTGGATTTTAGCCACCCTAATAGGTGTATAGAGATATCTCATTATTGTTTTAATTTGCATTTCCCTAATGACAAAAGATGTTGAGCATCTTTTCATATGCTTATTTGCCATCTGTAGATCTTCTTTGGTGAAGTGTCTGTTCAGATCTTTTGCCCATTTTTTTAATTGGGCTGCTTGTGTTCTGACTGTGGAGTTTTAAGCATTCTTTTTTATATTCTGTATACAAGTCCTTTATCAGATACGTGATTTGCAAATATCTTCTCCCAGTTTGTGGCTCATCTTTTCATCCTCGTAACGTTGTCTTTCACGGAGCAAACATTTTTATAATTTTAATGAAGTCCAAACAATCATTTTTTTCTTTCATGGATTGTGCTTTTGTTGTTGTATCTAAAAAGTCACCAAACCCAAGGTCACACAGAGTTTTCTGCATTTTCATGTAGACGTTTTATAGTTTTGCATTTTACGCTAGGGTCTTTGGTCCATTTCGAGTTCGTTTCTGCATAAGGGGGAAGATTTTGTCTAGGCTCATTGTTCCAGCATCCTTAGTTGAAAATCTCCACTGAATTCTCTTGACACCTTTGTCAGTTTTGCCAGCATTTTAAAATTGATGTCCTTTGCTGTCCTACCTGTCTTAAGTTCTGTAAAGAGTCACCTTGACAGAGGGGAAAGCTCTGATGGCGTTTTCTGCTTATCTCACAGCAAGACCACTGGTGCAGACCCTGCCTTTAAGGACCACTGTTAACAACGGCACTGTGTTACCAAAGAAACCTAGTGGCTCTCTACCGTCCCCCTCAGGGGCCAGGAAAGAAACAGCTGTGCCCGCCGCAACCAAAAGGTAGGTGCAGAGTGCCTTAACCCACCCCAAAAAAGAGTTCCATCTCAGGTTTAAAATAAATATTGCCTTTTTATGTGACACCTCTTAATTTCTTGTCTGAATTAAAACTCATAAAAGTACAATATTTGGTGTGTTGCCATATCAGGACCTATATACATTTATTTTTCTGCTTTTTTAGACTTTTTCTTACTGTCTTTTGAAATTTCATTGGCTAACACCATGGTGTGCTATTTTGTATTTTTGCTTGAGGGTCTCTTGAAAACACAAAAGGGAGTGTAACCTGTGTTAAAACGAATATGCTCTTAAAAAAAAAAAAATGAAGGGGCACCTGGGTCGTTCAGTCGGTTAAGCACCTTTGGCTCAGGTCATGATTGCAGGGTCCCGGGATTGAGCCCCGCATCGGGCTCCCTGCTCAGCTTCTCCCCCTGCTTGTGCTCTCTCTCTGAAATTAATAAATAAAATCTTAAAAAAGAAAAAGAATATGCTCTTCCCAGCTTCATACTTGGCATGGAGCAAAATTCAGATTGCCGTACCAATGTTAACTTTTTATCTATGAAATTTGGATAAGCTCATACCTTTAAATTGTGCCTAACAGTGAAGTTCTAGATATTGATGTTGTCTGTCAGAGCATAGTTTGCTCTTAATATTTCTATAACTTCATGATTGTCATATTAAAATTTCATATATTATATGCCAGGCCACTTGCCTTAGCTTTTAGGCTCTAGAAAATTAAATACATGATGGTAATATAGCCTAGAAAACCTTAAAGAAATTCTTGTGTGGTGATACCCCCCCCGGCTTGTTACAAGCCCACCGTAGAAGCTCTTAGGGCTCATTACAATACTAACTGCCTAGCAGGTGTCGGGTCAGGGAGCATGAGTGTGCAGAGGCCACTCTGCATGCTGGGGCCACCAGTGGGCTTGCAGGTGTTGGATCAGATGCTGCGCTGTGACTTGGAGGAAAACATAGCAATCCTATCTTCTTTTTCAAATATGTAGTGTTTGTACTCTCCCTCAAAAAACAAATTTTCATTGTGTTTTTACCAGCTAGAGTTTCATGTACTTATTGTTTGTGAATTTTAAGAACATTGATTTTGCAGGGCTTTTTAAAACTTAAAAAATGACATTCTTAACCTCATGTTGTATCTGTTTAATACTTGCTTGAATCATTTATTTCTAATCAACATGAAGTGACCTTCTGCATTCTAAATGGCAGCAGTCAATATGGACTGTCTTTGTTTTTCATCTAGATGTCGAAGATTGCCAAGGCTGACTTTATTTGAGGATTCAGATTGCCATCTGTTATAAAACACATAACATTAAATTTATCATCTCAGCCATTTTTAAGTGTACGGTTTGGTAGCGTTAAGTACTGTTGCACATTGTTGTTGTGCAGCAGATCGCAAGAACCTTTTCATCTTTTCTTTCTGTTTCCTTCTAAAATTATTTATTTATTTATTTAAATTTTAATTCCAACACAGTTAACATTCAGTGTTGTATTAGTTTCGGGTATACAACATAGTGATTCGGCAATTCCATACAACACCCAGTGCTCATCCCAACAAGTACCCTCCTTCATCTGCATCCCCTACTTTTCCCACCCCCCCACCCACCTCCCTTCTGCTGACCATGAGTTTGAAGAATTTTTTCATCTTGCAAAACTGAATTTCTATATCCATTAAACAATAATTCCTATCCCCAGCTCTTGGCAATCACCCTTTCTATGAGTTTGACTACTTTAGATACTTCATATGAGTGGAATCATACAGTATTTATTTGTCCCTTTGTGGCTGAGTTATTTCATTGAGCATCATATCCTTGAGGTTCATCCATATTGTAGCATATCACAGGATTTCCTTCTTTATTAAGGCTGCATAATACACACACCCACACCCACACCCGTACACCCCACATTTTCTTTATCCATTCAACTGTTGATGAACATTTGGCTTGTTTCTGCCTCTTGGCTGTTATAAATAATGCTATAATGAATGTGGCTATGCAAATAGCTCTTCAAAATCCTGCTTTTAATTCTTTTGGATAGATATCCAGAAGTGATATTGCTGAGTCATAAGGTAATTCTATTTTTAATGTTTTGACGAACCACCATATTGTTTTCCATAATGGCTACACCATTTTACGTACCCACCAACAAAGCACAAATGTCCTAATTTCTTCTCATCCTTGCCAAAAACTTGTTATTTTCTATTCTTTTGCTAGTGGCAATCCTAATGGATATGAGGTGATATCTCATTGTGGTTTTGCTTGGCATTTATCATATGATAAGTGATAATGAGCATCTTTTTTAAAAGTAATCTCTACATCCAATATGGGGCTTGAACTCACGACCCCTAAGATCAAGAGTCACATACTCTACTGACTGAGCCAGCCACGTACCTGGATATTGAGCATTTTGTTATATGCTTGTTGGTCATTTGTATATCTTCTTTGGAGAAATATCTGTTCAAGCCCTTTGCCCATTTTTAAGTCAAATGATTCATTTTTCTGTTATTGTTCCTGAACTGTAGAATTTCCTTACATATTCTGGATATGGACCCCTTATTAAGTATATTATTTGCAAATATTTCCTCCCATTACATAGGTTGTCTTTTTACTCTATTGATTGTTTCCTTGATACACAGAAGTTTCTAAGTATGATGTAGTCCCAAGTGTCTACTTTTGCTTCTGGTGTCACATCCAAGAAATCATTGACAAATACAGCATCCCAAAGCTTTCCCCTTGTGTTTTCTTCCAGGAGTTTGATGGTTTTAGGTCATACATTTAGTTCTTTAATCCCTTTTGAGTTAATTTTGTTTATTGTCGAAGGGTCCAACTTCATTCTTTTGCGTGTCGATATTCAATTTTCCCTTTGCCATTTGTTGAAAAGACTGTCCGTTTCCCATCGTCTGCTCTTGGGGCTCCCTTGTTGAAAATCATTTGGCCACATACTCAAGGGTTTATTTCTGGGCTCTCTATTCTGTTCCATTGATCTATTTTTCTCTCTTTGGGCTAATGAAGATACTCTACCAACTTGATTACTGTTACTTGGTAGCATATTTTAAAATCAGATACTTTGAGGCCTCCAACTTTGTTCTTCTTTTTCAAGGTTGTTTTGGCTATTTGGGGTTCCCTTGACATTCCTTTTAAATTTTAGGCTTTTTTTTCTATTTCTGCAAAAAATACCATGTTGATAGGGGATGCATTGAATCTATAGATCATTATAGGTACTATAGACATTTTAACAATATTAGGTCTTCCAATCCATGAAAATGGGATGGGTTTCCACTTATTTATGTCATCTTTGATTTATTTTAGCAGTGTTTTATAGTTTTTTTGCACAGGTCTTTCACTTCCTCGGTTAAATTTATTCCTGAGTATTTTATCCTTTTGATTCTGTAGCAAACGGGATTTTTTTCCTTAATTTCCTTTTTTTGTGTTCGTTGTTGTTAGTGTATAGGAATGCAACTGATTTTTGTATCCTGCAACTTTGCTGAAATTGTTGATTAGTTTTAAAATGTTTGTGTGCATGGAATCTTTAGGGCTTTCTACATGTAAGATCACGTCATCTGCAAACAGAGATAACTTTAGTTCTCTCTAATGTCAATACCTTTCATTTCTTTTTCTTATCTAACTGTGCTGGCTAGGATTTCTAGTACTGTGTTGAACAGGAGCGGTGCAAGTGGATCTCCTTGCCTTGTTCCTGATCTTAGAGGAAAAGCTTTTAGTCTTTCACTGTTGCATATGATGTTAGCTGTGAGCTTTTCATATATGGCTTTTATTATGTTAAGGTAATTTCCTTCTATTTCTAATTTGTTGAGAGTTTTTAACATGAAAGAATGTTGAGTTTTGTCAAGTGCTTTTTCTGTATCCGTTAAGATAGGGATGTGGTATTTGTCCTTCATTATGTTAATGTGGTGTATTACATTGATTTTCATATGTTGAACCATCCTTGCCTTGCAGGTCTAGATCCCATGGGGCTGTGGTATAATGGTCCCCTCTTACCCATGGTCTCACTTTCTGCAGTTTCAGTTGCCCATGGTCAACCTCAGTCCAGAAGCATAAGACCCTCCTTCTGACATACCACCAGAAGGTCAATAGTAGCCCAACATTATGTCACAGTGCCTACATATTTATTTCACTTCATCCTATCACGTAGGCATTTTATCCTGTCACATCATCACAAGAAGAAGGGTGAGTAGAGTATAATGAGATATTTTGACAGACAGAGACCATAGTCACAAAACTTTTATTACAGTATATTGTTCTAATTGTTTCTAGTTTATTATTAATTATTGTTGTTAATCTCTTACTATGCCTAATTTATAAATTAAACTTTATCATAGATATGTACTGTATAAATAGGGTTTGGTACTATCCACAGTTTCAGGCATTCACTGGTGGGTCTTAGAACATATCCCCTGTGGATAAGGGGGCACTCCTGTAATCCTTTTAATGTACTGTTGAATTCAGTTTGATAGTATTTTGTTGAGGATTTCTGCTTCAAGCTTCATCAGGGATATTGGTCTATAGTTTTTCTTGCTGTGTCTTTGTCTGGTTTTGGTATCATAGAATGAGACTGGAAGAATTTCCTCTCCCCCATTCCCCCTTCAATTCTTTGAACAGCTTTGAGGAGAATTGGTATTAATTCATCTTTAAATGTTTGGTAGGATTCTCCAGTGATGCCGTCTCGCCCTGGGCTTTTCTTTGTTGGGAGATTTTTTTTTTATTACTGTTTCAATTTCCTTCTGGATATTGGTCTGTTAGAGTTTTTATTTCTTCATGATTCAGCCTTGGTATGTTGTATGATTCTGGGAATTGATCCATTTCCTCTATGTTATCCAATTTGTTAGCATATAATTGCTCCTAATAGTCTCATAGAATTCTTTTTACTTCTGTGACATCAGTTGTAATATTCCCTCTTTCATTTCTAATTTTAGTTATTTGGGTCTCTTTTTTTCTTAGTCTAGCTGAGGATTTGTCAGTTTTGTTGATCTTTTTGAA